AAAGAAATCTGAGTTGATACATTTCTTTGCAGTACACCATTTCACTTCAAGCCATTATGAATGACTTTGTTTACATCTTAATGGTTGAATTCTGCAGCAATTTGGTAGAATTCCTCTTTAAGGAATTTCTCTGGCATTAAAAAGGCTTCTCTGCAGGGGCAGGCCGACTTCAGAGAGGTTTTGTAGATGCCCTAATGCTTCGCTTGACCCAATATTACCTTCAGTATGAATATCTGAGGAAAAAAAGGGACCTGCAGCCTCTTGGCATCCCAGTAGTTTGTTAGGCCTGAGGGCCTGAGGGCTTGTCTGAGGGCACATAGCCAGTTGGCCCTACATTCATGGTACATTCATTCAGTGGTATAATCTTGTGGGCTTGGAGATCCATGAGCGTTAATACTAAACCCTTAAGGACACTCGTGTGTGTGTGTGTGTGTGTGTGTGTGTGTGTGTGTGTGTGCGCGCGTGTGTATGAGTGTGAAATTATCAGCCTGTGCATTTGTGTGACCTTGTAATGTGGTGTGCAGTTGATTCCATTCACCTTGTCAGATACCCTTCTAGGCCACACTTGGTGCTCAGTGCACATGCGCGCACACACACACACACACACTAAATGATCACACGGCGGACAAAGGATGTGGCACATGGACAGAGGAATTCAGAGTGAGTCTAAATTAGGAACAAAACTCAGCTACTGAGAATAGCCTGCTGCACACTTTGAAGTATAATGCAGCAAGACCACACACATACTGTCATTTAACCCTTATATACACACCCATAACCCTTATTTGCCCACCCAAACTGACAAGAGAATATATGTTGTAGTCAATATACAGCCATGCAATATCATTGCAGCCATGTTTTCAGGTCATATTTTTTGTTTTACTTTGATGGTTCAGCTCTTGTACAGTCATGCTAAGCTAAGCGGTGACAGACATGACGGAACTGGACAGTGTCTGGACACATTGGTGTGTAATTCAGAATTCTTTATCTGTTCTTAATTACTAGTTTAATTTTCCTTTTGTGTCCAAATTAAACATGACAATAAACTACATGACTTTTACTGAACTGCACTTTTTAGTATGTTTGTTTTATTTTACAAAGATTAAACGTCAGCTAACATGCTGTAGCTAACAGTGTCTGCTCCCACCATCCCACCTACTGGTTGTGCCACCTGACTTTTCAGACCAATGTCAAATTAAACAGGCATCTATCCTTGAAACTGAGTTTTTACTTACATTTTTTTTTCAAATAAATAAACAGTATTATAATAATTACACATTTAATGTTTTTTCTGAGGTTATACTGCCTGAACATTCTAACCAAGACAAAAAAAAAAAACAGTTTTTCCAAAATTTGAGAAAAGGCTATTGGTTGCGCCATGAAGGTCACTTGGGGTCTTCTTTTTTAAAGCAACACCCTGGCCCACCTTTTGTAAATGCATGTCAAAATAAAAGTCCTTTGTTTTTGGTTGTGCCGCCTGACAATTCACAAAGAAAGAACTTGAGGACAAAGGTTTTTCAGGAACTTGAGTACTTTTAAAGTTGCCTTATTTTGCGACATGGTTTTTGTTTTAAAGTTTTCAAACATAAGATCATGCCAAACTATTTTATTTAGAATCTTTTACAACTTTTTGACAGTTTACTTAATCAACATATATGGTTGAAGGATTGCACCACTTGACATTTTTAGATTTTTGGAGGCAAAAAGAAACTAAAATGAATTTTATATGGATGCACTGAAAACTGTTTCACATTAAAGAGGTATTGTTGAATAATTTGATGTACGTCATGTATTCATTACATTATTTTTTGGGAAAATAGTGGACACAGAAAATATAATATAAATGTCAGTGGCCCATATGTATCTGAAGAAGTTAAGATACATAAAGAAGTTGCCAGGATCGCCACTGATGTAGAGGCTAACAAATACTAAAGTGACATCAGGCTTTCTAGAAGTAACGTTAGCTATCTGGCATCCTTTTGCATTAGCAAGCCAGACTGCTCCTTTAAATCTGGTCGTTTGGTCACAGAATCTGAATATAATCACAAACATATGAAAATAACATGTCACTACCAGATATTCATCCTGCGTAACTATACAAAATAACTTCTTTTTAGACCAAACAGATTAAGTTCTGTGCATTTTGGTTGGATGTGAATGGGCCAACAGATGTTTAGCAGAGAATGTTTACTTTACCCTATAAACTGACTCTTTTGATGCTTTTATCCTTTGAAAGGAGCGATTTTCAATGCATAAATCCTCATGTTTCATGTTGCTGTCATAGCTAAGCAGCGTGACACGCACCACGCTCGCCATGTGCTCGCTAGCTGGATGAATAAGGGAAGGGAACATACTAGTGGCATGACTCATTCTTCTCTTCCTCAGTCTCTCCCTTCTCAATTTCTAAAGGAAATACTGAGTCCTTTTTTCCAAACAAAAACCAAGCACATGCTGGACAGCCACACTCAGAAGCTTCACTGTACAGCCTATTGAATGTAGTTTATGTAATACAGCTTAGCATAAGAAAGAACAATGTAAATATTAGGCTTTTATGTTTATTTTTGGCATTTTTTATATTTACTTCTATACAGTGTTCTAGCTTTTCGAGGTAGCTACTGAGTACAGGGCAAATAATGTGTGTTTTTAGGGCACACATGTTTTTTGTGGACTGGAGCTCCATCAGGCCAGCTCATAAGTGGTGCATTAAGCAATGTTTGCATTGGAAGAGGAAGAGCTTTGCTGACAAGGGGCAAAATAGGAACATCTGGACGCTACCATCTCTGCAAATGTTAGGCCTTCTGTGTCTTCACAGTACTAAGAATACTAACCCTATTCAACAAAAACCTCAACTGGTTCAGTGGATATCTGGAGTGTATTTATCATGAGCTTTTAGTCAGCATGATGCTAAATGTCTGATATCTAATATGCCACAGAGGTGGGTAAACTAGAACCCAATATACAAGTAAAAGTGTTGAAATGTCAATGAAAAAGTTTCCAAACACAAGAGTTATAAAGGATCAAGTCCAAAAACTCTTCTGAGTAGAACATCTTAGTACATCCAGAATCCATCAGCACAGGAACTGAAGTCTAAATGTTTTTTTTGTCTAAAATAAACTGCTAAAGTGAGAAGTGAAAGGTGTGAGCCACAGCAAAGCAGCTCAGGTGCCAGACGAACAGAATGCAGCTACACCCAGAAAAAGAATTAGGAACTAAACGTGAAGGATTAAAATGGATCCGGAGAAGTGGATCGCTTTTCCTAACAAACAGAAGCAAAAACGAATAATTTAAGAACGCTCAGAAATGTACAAATCCATCAAAACGTTGTGCTTAAAGTGGGAATTCCGCAGCTTTTCCACAGTTTCTGCATAATTCACCCATTGAAAAGCAAACAAAATGTGAAAATTGATTTGTAGAGACAATTAGGAAGCAGGAATCGCACTGTCTACAACACAAATAGAATAATTTTGTTTATTATACAAAATGACCAGTGAACCAACACGTGGCTTGATGATGGTAGTGTTAAATCAGGAAAAAAAAGTTTTCGTTGGGTAATATTTTGCCTTATAACTCTCTGCTTATACCTCACGACCATGAATAGATTTTAAAAACTTTTTAGGCCAAAATCTTATCTCGGAACTAATGCCAACCATCGTCTCAGGCATCAGGCAGCATATTTAAAAACCATTTCATATAATCACTTCCTGTGAGATTTTAAAGGCATCACACTCTTCAGACGTCTGGTTCCTATCACCACCACTGTAAACAATACTGACTCTGTATGTTTTTCTAGAACAGAGCATTTCACACCAAAACCAATCTGGCTTTAGTTGAATCTCAACGATTTAAGATTTTTCAGAAATGTAGAAAAAATGGAAGGATTCCTCTTTAAGTACATGGAACTGAGTGAATGTAACAGGTTGCCAAGTTTACAGTCAGGTCTATGAGCATCATTCACTATGAAACACATGAAACACTGCAGTACATACAATAGTATTATAAAAAGCATCCTCAGTGGAGGGTTTTCACAGGATAACATGGTCAGCGACAAGATACAAGAATTGAGTCAAGATGCGCAATAACCTATGACAAATCAGCACGTGAGAGCTGTGGCTAAGAGGGCCAGTCTTCATATTTAAATGGGAAGTCTAGTCAGAATTGCTCACAGTGGTGGTGATAGGAACCAGACGTCTGAAGAGGTTAACGTCTGTGAAAGCTCCCTCACAGAAAGTTATCACATAAAATGTTTAGATATATACGCGGCTTGACGTCTGACACATTGTTTTACGATAGCTTTGTGATGAAGTTTTGGCTTAAAATGTATTTTAATCCAGTTATGCTGGAGGGGTACATGCAGGGTGTTGTGAGGCAAAATAGTCCCAAAAGAAAACTTAATTTTTCAGTTGTATCACTATTTTACCATCATCCACATTACATATAAAAAGTGGTAGTTTGGGATATTAAATGAAATGGCTATATTAGCATTGTAGACAGGGGACCCCTGGTTCCTATCACCACCACTGTAAAGCACTCTGAGTCTGTATGTTTCTCTACAATGAACCACTTCACATCAAACCACTCTGAACGACTCTTTGCATCTCAGAGACAGTAATTTTGAAAAATTGGTGGGATTCTCCTTTGACAGCTAACGTTTTTAGCTTCCTCGGCCATACAAGGAAAACTATGAACATGAAAATGAACTTCAAGAGTCACCAACTCAGACAAGACGCACTGTACAGTGAGGACAGTCACACTCCGACAGCTGGAAAGAGCCTAACGCTGACGTTAAGAGGAAAAACTGACGAAACTTTTAATTTAAACAAACCACTTCAGTGACGAGGCTATCAAATCCAGCCCAAAAGCCATTACAGACAACTTTAAGAGCTGCTGGTTGTTTCACTGGGACTCTGTGAGGATCCTATAGGCTACAGATGTAGGATGAACGCGGCTCAGTTGAAAACTGAATCTTAAACTCAGTTAATACTGTGGTTTTATTAACTCACCTCTGTCTGGTAAAACGGATGGTTTCCAACCCGAATCAGCAACACGTTGGATAAGTTCAGCGACTGAGTGTCAGACCAACACCCTTTTTCCACAGACACCTCCACAGGTTGCTGTCTTGCTGAGGGGGCTGAGTTTTGAACGGGAGGCTAACGTGGCTTTAATGTTTTGGTTGGTCGCGCGCGCCGAAGCAGGATTTCTTCTGTTGCTTCAGTTCACTGAATCGAATCTTTTGAACGGTTAATTTTGACGGACAGTGTGTGAGCGAGTGGAGCTTCTTATTAGAGTGTTACTACGGTGTGTTGTGGCTTTATGATGTTAAAGAGGAACTCCACCAATCTCTCAAAATTTCCACGTAATCAAAAGGCTGAAGACATTCAGAGTGGTTTGGTGTGAAATGCTTCGTTCTAGAGAAACTCAGCGACTCGCAATTGTTCACAGTGGTGGTGATAGGAACCACCTCTAAAAGCTCCCTCACAGAAAGTTATTACTCCAAATGGTTATGAATTCACTGTCTGATGCCTGAGGCATTATTCTATGAGAGATTTGTGATAAAGTTTTGGCCTAAAACGTCTTGTTAATTCATTTATTTTTATCCATTTGTGGCGGAGGGGTATATTGTAAGGCAAAATAGTCCCCAAGGAAAACATAATTTTTACATTTTTCACTGTTTTGCCATCATCAACATTACATATAAACATTTAGAAGTCACGTGTAGATTCACTGGTGGTTTTGGATAGTAAATAAATTGGCAATATTAGTGTTGTAGACACGGCGACCCCTGGTTCCTATCACCACCGCTGTAAAGAAATGACTTTGTTTACATCGGAACAATGGAGTTACGCAAAAATATTGAAAAATCAGTGGTATTCCTGTTTAAGTTAAAGCACCTGTCTACTTATTTTCATGAACTATGATCTCTATTTATATATTTATATATTTCTAGTTTTTACAATAAACTGGCAACAAAAGAATGTTGTTGGTTTTTCTGTTTAGAGATTTTTAAAATTACATTTTCTGTCATTTTTCTTCTGTTTGATTTGACTAAGTTTGGTGCAGGTGACTTTAGTTCTGCCTGACTTTGCTATGATGGCCAAGTTGTAGTGATGATCAGATTCAATTTACAAAATTTTATTGAGCTGTTGTGTCACTGAATCCAGTGTCTTATTAAGCCAATTAATGTTTTGTGATTCTGATGTTTGTGCTGCAAACAAAGCAATAGTTTTTGGGCAGTTCGGAAACTACCCAGGAGTAGTTGATTCAGTTCAAACCCACTCATCAGACAAATATGAAAAAAAAATTTTTAGATTAAATTCCATTTTAAAGTCTAACTAATATGTAATGTGACTAATCATAATATACATGCAATATATGCAATTTTTGTTGCATTTTTGTTCCTAGCAAAATACAGCTAGTCTGGTTTTAATGTTTGTTCCTCAGACTGTAAAGGCCAGTAGGACAGCTACTAAAATTCTCCAACATCATTACCTAGACCTGCCCTGTCCAGACTGTACATATTCAGTGTTTTCAAATTGTACCGTTGATTTTAAGGTTTTAAGGTACTGACAAGATTAGATCATTGTTTCATTGGACACTCTGACATGGTGGCCACAGTAAGACTGACGTCAGCATCTAACTCAAAAAATGGAAATATTTGAATCACAGTGCAACTTTAATATACTGATATAGTACATGTACAAGCACACACTAAAGAGCTCAAATGCACCTTATTCTTTTATTTTTGCCCCCAGATCAGCCACAGCCAATTCCCACCCACTAGCTAGGCCTCCCTCAATCACACAATGCTACCAAGGCAGGAGGGCGAAGGCTAGCGTGTGTAAAGCACCACCACATCTGCTGCTAATGCAACGTCATTGGACAACTCTACACGCTTGAAGGAGAGCACTAATTGCCAATTCTGATACATCAGCTAACAGACACCTGCATTGGCTAGCATCACACTGAATGATGTGGGAAGAGGGAGGGTCATCCTACCCACCCAGAGCGAGGCCAATTATGCTCTATTGATCAAGGATTGCTGTCAAATCTAATCTTAAAATGTTTGAAAATACTCTTGTACTTCATACTACTCAAAGTACGATACTAATCCCCACAGAATGACATTGAAAAGAGCCTCAAGGCATAAAGACTAAATTTGATTTTATTTTCAATTGATTTTCTGCATGACCGCTTAAATCCCTGCCTTTCTTTTGTACAGCAAAAGCATTCAAAGATATTCCCAGTTTAAAGAGTTAAAATAATGATAGATGACTTTAGAGGCTACTCTCGTCCCAGCTCATCCCAAAAAGAAACAGATGCCCTGTTGGACTGCATCAAAATAGCCCCATTTCACCAGTTGCCAAGAGCTGCAAGTCAATAAAAAATAAGGAAGAAGTAAAAATAGCGCTATTTTGAGCAGTCAGACAGAGCAAACGTCTCATCCAGCCACATACTGGAAGACTCCCATGATTTCAAAACTGAAGGCCGACACTGGTGGGATCCTCCTGAGATGTTTAAATCTGACTGGCCTCTTCTTCACCTTTCCTGTAGAAGAGAGAAACATGATTTTCTTCATAAACAGGCATATCAAAACATCTTTGGTTCAAGAAGTGACCCTTGTTGGACATCTTGTGTTTGGGGTTGACCAGTATAGCCACAACATATTGCAGTTGTATTTCTGATACTAACAGGTCAACTTTTTGGTAACTTCTTTTCTTAAAGCGATGTTTGGGCCAAAAATCAAACTTAAAGAATTTTCCACTTTACCCAAATGAGGTCTATAAGCCAAGACATGTTTGGTGGCCAAAAAATTTCTTCTTTAGTTTTGGTGTTTCAAAGCTAATATAAGTAATATGTAATGAAATATTGTAGCCACCAGTTGCACCATGATGCAAAAAGACTCCCTCATTGTCTTCAAACGCCGACTGCAGACCAATTTCTTTGTAAATCAACAATAATGAACAATCTTAAATGTATGTTATGTCTTATTTCTGTTTATTTAGCTCTTGTTTCTGGCAGTATTTTGGCAGCATCTTAGCTTAAGGGTGGCTGGACGGGCACTTAACCCCCCCCCCTGTACACCAGGGGGCGCTGCTCTGATGGCAACACTGTGCATCTACCAGATTTAGCAGAAACTATAACATAACAAGGGTATTTTGGATGTTCTCTGAGTGGACAACAAAGCACCTTGGGTAAGAGTTCCTGCTTAATGCCATGTAAGTGATAAGCATGATGTAAGTTCATGGTGCCTCATGTAGAGTTGTTAAGTAGTCTCAAATTGACTAATATGGCTGTTGACACTGTATGACATACCTGTTATCTACAAAAATGGACAAACTACAGACATACTGAGGCTTCAAGATGGCTGCCTCTTTTGTTTCTGGCTATGAGGCATAGTTTGTCCAGTCCAAAGCTAAAGAAGCAAAGTTCACAAAAGAGGTCTTTGCTGACCGACTACATTTGGCGTAAGGGGAAAGTTGTGTAAGTTGGATTTGTGATTTCTTATAAAGAAAGACATTCCACTCCAAATCACAAAGGACTGGCAGATCACAGCATTGATCTGAAGGAACAATGAAGGAATTCAAGCAAAAATGTACAAGTTTTTATATGTTAATGGATATATATGTTAACTGTCCTTATTCAGGCAAAGGTGTGAAAGAAATGCCATTAGTCCCTTTTGAGAAAATATAGGACCTATTAGTGCACAGTTTGTGCTGGTCATCCTCTAGTCCTTCATCAGTGGTCACAGAATGCTGCCCACAGGACGCTGTTGTCTGGATTTTTTAGTTGGTGGACTATTCTCAGTCCAGCAGTGACACTGAGGTGTTTCAAAACTTCAGCAGCACTGCTGTGTCTGATCCACTCGTACCAGCGCAACACACACTAACACACCACCACCATGTCAGTGTCACTGCAGTGCTGAGAATGATCCACCTGCTCTGTGGTGCTCCTGACCATTGAAGAACAGGGTAACAAAGTATGCAGAGAAAGTCTGTAACTGTAGAACTACAAAGTGCACCTATGTGGTCAGTGGAGCTGATAACATGAACAAAGAGCACAGAAACAAGGAGGTGGACTTAATGAAGTGTCCAGTCCTAGACACTGTGAGTGTGGAAATCCAATGGGAAGGGACTCACTTCTTTTTTCCGCATTTGTCATCTGTGGGTGAGAAATGTTCAAGTTAGATCAATGTATAAAAAAAAGAGAGAGAAAAGTTTGAACATGTGAAAAATATAAAGAATCAAGACTTACGAAAAAGGACAAAAAGGGCTCCTATTACAAGCAGGATTGTGAAGATAATGCCTCCAATCCGCAGCCTGTCATAGTCTAAAGGAACAATCGTAGGTTGTCACCATAAACATGTTAAAGCTGCGTTTTTTCTCTAACTTCAGATGAGTTAGATAAGCCTTAAGTGACTTCTCCACCAGCATGTGGGTCTGCAAATAGGTCTAGGACAAAAAGGTCTGAGGTACTTACTGTAAACAAATGGATCTGTGCAGAAGAAGAAGAGGAAAGAGAAATGGAGAAGTGGGAGTTAGCCAGATCCTTCACAGTGGAAACTATTAAAACTGCTGAAAACACTAGTTTCTATTGTTTGTATATGGAAAACTAATGCGCTAAGCCAGGAAAGAGTGGCTGGTCGAACAAGTCTGACAACAGAAAAGACCAAAGCATCTTTGCTTACTTGCTTCAGCTTCACTGAGGAATGCACTGAAAACTAGAAGGATAAAAAAAACAGTCTAAAAAAGATGGACATACAGAAATGTCTTGTTTTGTGTAGTATTATAGTCCAAAAGTTTGGGCAGCCCCTGGTCAAAACACATTAAAAATAAGTTGACACATCCTCCTGCACAGTTCAGTACACAATTACTGTTTGTTTGCTTTACATATTGGACCAAAATGAGGTTTTATATGTTATACTCAGCATGTAAACAGAGATTATCCATTAAAATCCACAGAAAAATGCCGTATTTAAGTTTGTTCTCTAACTCGTTTTTACATAGAAAATCCATAAAACGTCATTTGACCAGGGGTGCCAAAACCTTTGGATGTGACTGTGAATTACAGCACTAAACATTCCAAAAAAGGATTTTTCTTCAGGCTAGTTTGGAACATGTGTACAATATTTTAACAGTACTGGACAAACAAGAACTGTACCCACA